ATGAGATGAAGGAAACAATTCTCTCCTTTCTATCGATCGGAAGGCGAGAACAAAAAATTTGGACTGCACGTGGAAAATGAATGCAACCAAATAATTTTTTTGAGTATAATTTTGACGGACACAACATAACTTCGTACGTGAAGAATATGCCAAATATGCCATAATTTCGGCAATCATCTATTCATTTCAAGAAAATGCATTCCCATCGACCTTTATTTATATACCATCAACCTTATGGTTAATGACGGCTAATGATACGGCAATGTACCTCATCGAAATATTGTTTTTAGACCCCATGTTTCTTTGGACCAAATCCATTTCACACAATTTGGAGTCGATTTACAAATGCCCGTCTATCTGCCTAGGCGGCTGATGCGCTCGATAACTCTCGTAATATTTCTTCTTAACTTATTATACCCTTCACCACACTGTGGTACAGGGTATTATGTCTTTGTGCATATGTTTGTAACAGCAAAAATAATCGAGATAGACCCATGGTTCCTTTTGAGAATATGCATAGAATCACTTTCTGAGTCGATTTATGCATGTCCGTCTGTCCATGTTAGGTACAGGTCGCATTTATGATCCGAATTGGATGAAATTTGGCACAGCTCATTTGTTTGTCCCAAGGACGAACCCTATTGAAATTGGGAAAAATCGGTTCAAATTTAGATATAGCTCCCATATATATTTTCGTCCGATTTAAGGTAAATGGGGTACCAGAATCCCTATATATCTTTCGATTTGCACGAAATTTGAATTAGGTCTAGAATGATGTGTGCTAAGTTTCGTGAAAATCTGTTCAGTTTTAGATATAGCTCCCATATATAGTTTCCCCAGACTTTAGGTAAAGTCCCTGAAAATCATTTGATCTGCACGAATTTTGGCATAGCATATTGAATTAAGTCTACAAATGACGTGTGCTAAGTTTCGTGAAAATCGGTTCAGATTTAGATATAGCTTCCATATAGAGTTTCGCCCGATTTTAGGTAAATTTGATTGATTAAAAATAATTTGATTTGCTCGAATTGTGGCACAGCGTATTGAATTAAGTCTTGAATTAAGTGTGCTAAGTTTCGTGAAAATCGGTTCAGATTTAGATTTAGCTTCCATACATAGTTTCGTCCGATTTTAGGTAAATGGTGCACCAAAGTCTCTGAAAATCATTCGATTTGCACGAAGTCTAGAATGATGCGTACTCCTCCCATATATATATATTTTTTCGTCCGATTTTAGACTAGGCCGATTGACACAACATTTTGAAATTAAGTCAAAACGGTTCAGATATAGATATCCCGTAGCTTCCATATATAATTTATATTAACAATACCTGTAAATTGTTGGGAGATCGGACTTACCGACCCATTCTTAGATCGAACGCAAAGACGAGACTTTTCTTGTCTATAGATCAACTTCATCTGGAACCTCTCCAAAGATAATGAACGCTTTAAAAAAACATATACTAAAACATGCCTAAAAACATGCTTAGGGTATATAATATGTTGGGGAAAAAGAAATCCATTATTTTTATAAGAACTACAGGACTTTATTTCTTCAGAATGTACGATTTGGGCCAAATATGCACCGTTTTGTTGTATGATTTGTTGTCATTTCAAAGGCAACTTCAAAATGCCTTTTTCATAGAAGTCCTGCTCTTTATTTGCGAAAAACTCTAGTAGTTGATGTTCACAATCAACCCTAGATACCAATTTTTTATCATTAAAGAAATTTTGCAATGGAAGAAAAAGATGGCAATCGTTTGGTGCCAAGTCCGGACTGTATGTTGGATGCATTACAACCTCCCAACAAATCTCCCAAAGTTTCTGGTGAGTTATTGGTAGATGTGTGTGGCCTAGCGTTGTTTTGGTGGAACGCGACGCCTCTCCTGTTGACCAATTCTGGCCGTTTCTGATCAATTGCTATCTTCAAACGATCCAGTTGTTGACAGTAGAGATCAGAATTTAGCGTTTGGAAGCAACTCATAATAAGTAATTACCTTCCAGTTCCACCAAATGCATAGCAGAACCTTCCTGGCCGTTAGTCCTGGTTTGGCCACAGCTATTTGACCAGTATCGTTTTCGCATAGGATTATCGTGATCCACTTCTCATCTCCAGTCAGCATTTGGCCAAGGCTTCGATCTATTCTATTTTGTTCTTTTAATTGGTGTGACACCCAAACCTCGAACTTCTTTTTGAATCCAGCATTGTGTAAATGGTTTAAAACAGTTTTATGGTCGATTTTTAGCTCCTGAGCGATGTTGCGACTGCTACCATGCCGGCCAACTTCGATAATTTCTCCGATTTTATCGACATTTTCTGCATTTCTTCTTCCCCAACCTAACTGACCCTTTTTTTACCCTTCACCACACTGTGGTACAGGGTATTATGTCTTTGTACATAGGTTCATAACAGACAAAATAAAACGAGACAGACACATGATTCCTCTTAAGAATATGCATAGAATCACTTTCTGAGTCGATTTATACATGTTCGTCTGGTCGAAAATAGGCACAGCTCATTTATTTGGCTCAAGGACCCCTATTGAAAAATTGGAAAAATCGTTTCCGATTTATATATAGCTTCCATATATAGTTTCGTTCGATTTTATGTAAATGGTGCACCAAAGTTAAGATAATTTTTATAAAATTTTCGTACTGAACATAACGTGTGTGAAGTTTTAACATTTTGGTTCTCATTATAGTCGACAAATGCCTTCGACCCCATAACGCATTTTTCAACCCACATACCTCCAATTCCATTTTGTGTTACAGAGTTATATACCGTTATCATAAGGAAGCATTCCGCCTCGTTTTCAATGATGGTCAATGTTTTCATACAGCTTCTCTATAGAGGTCCCCCATGGCATAGCTCCCAAATATAGATACAGACCTTTATTTATGTGTTTTGACATTAGGTTGAAAATCTTCCTACCAAAAGTTATAAATATTGGTTCGCTTTTTAGTTAGCCCCCATAAGCGGAAGCTTCCAAACTTCGGTGTTTTGGGCACGATACAAAAATAATATATATTGATTCAAATTCCAAGGTAGCCCCCATTTATTGACATTCCCCATTACTCAGTATTTTGGTCAAGTTTTTCCAAGTTGATATTTATACCCTTCACCACACTGTGGCAAAAATAATCGAGATAGACCCATGGTTCCTTTTTAGAATATGCATAGAATCACTTTCTGAGTCGTTTTATGCATGTCCGTCTGTCCGTCCGTCCATGTATTTTTGTTAACAAAGTACAGGTCGCATTTATGATCCGATTTGGATGAAATTTGGCACAGGTCACTTAATTGGCCCAAGAACGAACCCTATTGTGTATTTTGAGGTTATATAGCGCGTTTTTAACTGAATTCGCTGCAATTTGGTACGTTGAGTGGGTAGAAACTCTCCCTACTAAAAATTATAAATATAGGCCAATTTTTTCGGATATTCCCCATATAAGGGTACCCCCAAATTTTCGATATTTTGCAAATCTCCCTACTGCGTTTTTCAACGAAGTTCTTTGAAATTTGGTTTTTTGTAGTCGTATATGGTTACAAACCTCCCTCCTAAAAAGTATTAATATTCGCCCCCTTTTAGGGGTAGTCCACATATAACCCCCTTTTTATACCCTTCACCACACTGTGGTACAGGGTATTGTGTCTTTGTGCATATGTTTGTAACAGGAAAAAATCGAAATAGACCCATGGTTCATTTTGAGAATATGCATAGAATCACTTTCTGAGTCGATTTATGCATGTCCGTCCGTCCATGTATTTTTGTTAACAAAGTACAGGTCCCATTTATGATCCGATTTGGATGATATTTGGCACAGGTCACTTAATAGGCCCAAGTGCGAACCCTATTGAAATTGGAGAAAATCGGTTCAGATTTTGATATAGCTCCCATTTTTTGCACAGAGTATAGAATTAGGCCTAGATAGTTATATGCCAAGTCTTGTTGAAATCGGTTCAGATATAGATATGGCTCCGATTCATAGTTTCGTCCGATTTAATGTAAATAGTGCACCAAACTCCCAATAGTCGTCCGAAATTTTGCACAGAGTACTGAATTAGGTCCCTACTGATGTATGTGAAAATTTTTTGGAATCGATTTAGATTTAGATATAGCTGCTATATATAGTTTCGTCCCATTTTATGTAAATGAAACTCCATACTGCCAATATTTATCCGATTGAGACAAAATTTTGCACAGAGTACTGAATTAGGTCCCGACTGATGTATGCGAAATTTCTATATTTAAAGGATATGGGTGGCAACTCTTCTTACTATAAATTAAGAATATTTACCCACGTTTTACAACGGCGTTTTTGGTATGTTCAAGATCCTATCCCAATTTTCCAACCTGAGTGTCTGTAGTTTGGTATTTATTTTTTCCAGGCAATAATTTATGTTACAGTCCCCATATAAAATTTTCGATCGATTTTAGTTGTATTAAATGGACGCGAATATTTTCTCACCGAACGTAGGCTTTTGGGATTATAAGAAATACCAGCCGATAGAACATTTTCATTGAAGGTCTATGGTTTGAGATTAGGCTTCAATTTCCGTTTTTATTTACTGCAAATATCAATACATTCATAAATTAACTTGAGAGGAGGAACGATAATATTTCCACATATAGATTTTGGTATACAATATAAATTCGGATTTTTTATTCAAGCGTTTTCAGAATTCGTGAGGGAAAATACGAAAACAAAAATTCTGAGATTTTACATTAACTTGCATTCGCTGTAAAAATCGAAATCATTTCAAAAATTTACTTCCATTGATTGTACACCCATCGCCGTGGGACAATTTGTTTGCAATTTAATTTCACTTTTATCGAATATTCGTTCAACTACGTCTGCCTTATCCTATTAAGTTGATTAATTATCTTTCCCATTCACTAGTTATTTTGTGCCTGTGTGTGTATTTTCCCCATAAGTACTACTTCATAGTTTTATTAATGGAGTTTTTTTTTCCTTCTCTTTCATATTTTCATCCGCCGCATGAACCACAGCATCGACGACCGTTTGGCTCTCAAGGAAAAATTGCACTGTAAACCATTCAAATGGTACTTAGAAAATGTTTATCCTGATTTACAAGTTCCTGATTCATATGAATTTGGCCAATTTCGCCAAGGTGATTTCTGTTTGGATACCATGGGAAATTTGGCGGATGGCACAGTTGGTAAGTAAACATATCAAATAAAAACAAAATGAAATGAAAAGCAAAGCAAAAAATGTGAACGTCGAGTTTAATTTTTTATGGCATTGTTGAAGTTCAAGTGGGATTGTTTTTAAAGAGAAAGAATTATTATTGTTTTCATATCCTTTTTTTAAATGAAATATAATGTGTTGAAATGGCAAGTTCCATTGAAAACGACACATACTTTTTTGATATCAGTGAAATTGAAAACGATTTAAAGATTCTGTCATGAGCCGTCGTCGTAGGTACATTGACATTCTGGTCAGAGGTAAATTTACCCTTTCTCAGTCGTCGTCTCTACTGAAAATCGGGAATTCTGTCCAGAAAGATTGCATCGAATATCTTATACGCAGTATAAGACTTTTCACTTAATTGTCTAATGGAATTGGCTGAGGACTGTTCGTCAACCATTGCATTGAAACCTGATTTCATAGAAATCCACCGAAGCATATGTTGACTGCTGAAAGTCTTTCAAGTATAGGAATCTACAGAACGATAAATATATACCGTTAAAAACCACTCTCACCTTGGTTTGTGCATGCATAGGCCTATATATGATGGTCGATCAAGACTTGGATAAATTCATAAATATTTTTTGCAAGAAAATATATTTATGAATTTTTATTTTCTGGGATTCCGATGGTTTCAATTAATTTAAAACCAGTAAGGAAAGTAGTAAAGTCGGACTGGACCGACTATATGATACCCTTCACCACTTTGGGTATATTCTGCATATGTATCCGAAAAGACGTCACCTTTTTTAATGATTTTTTGACATGAAGTTGAACGAACTTAAATATGTGATTTTTATTTCTTTCTGGAACCTATGCTAAATTTAATTTTATTTGGGCAAGTTTAGAGTCGTTTGCGCACAGTGGGACAAATTTGTGTAAATCGATTCAAAACAAACTTGACATACTGTATTCGGTATGCTGCACTGTTTAAAATTTAATCTCAAGCAGACACCTATTGATTATTTGGTGTACAATTAACATAAATAGGTCGAAATTATATATGGAAGCTACGATATATCAATATCTGAACCGATTTGAAGCAAACTTGCCACAGATTAATTTATATTAATTTCAGTACATTGTGTGAAGCGGCTTAGGTGTACACATCATTGTAGATTTAATTCAATACGCTATGCCAAAATCCGTGCCAATCGAATGATTTTGAGAGACTTTCGAGCACCATTTACCTAAAATCGGGCGAAACTATATATGGAAGCTATATCTAAATCTGAACCGATTTTCAGGAAACTTCACACATATCATTCTAGACCTAATTCAGTGGGCTATACCAAATTTCGTGCAAATCGAAAGATATATAGGGACTTTGGTACACCATTTACCTTAAATCGGGCGAAACTATATAAGGGAACTATATCTAAATCTGAACCGATTTTTCAATAGGGTTCGTCCTTGGGCCAAATAAGTGAGCTGTGCCAAATTTCATCCAATTCGGATAATAAATGCGACCTGTACTTTGTTTACAATTTAACATGGACAGACAGACGGACGGACGGACATGCATAAATCGACTTAAAAAGTGATTCTATGCATATTCTCAAAAGGAACCATGTGTCTATCTCATTTCATTTTGCCTGTTACAAACATATGCACAAAGACATAATACCCTGTACCACAGTGAAGAGTATACAAATTTAAGGATTCTGTGGACTTGTGTTAAGAAGAAAATATTTTGATCGGAAAGCCTGAATAGAATACAAAATATATTTTCGCGGATTCTGAATGCCTGGATCAATTCGATATAGTTTTATTAGAATTCTGAAGACCTGGTTAGAAAATATTTTCAATGACAAATATAAAAAATTAAAAATTTTGATTAATTAGAAATTATTCGTTCAAATTAATTTGAATATATTTTTTAATAACTCTGAAAGTCTTAACATATTATAAAATACTTTATTTAAGGACTTGGAAAAGACCCTGAATTATATAGAAAATATTTTGTTCAAGTTGTATGTAGGCCCGAGGTAATTCGAAAACATTCTTCTTAAAGAACTATTAAGGTCTGGAGACGCTGGTGGAGACCTGTAAAATTTAGCAACAGTTTTCAAGTATTTTGATTAAAAACAAAAACAGTAAGGAAAGTATTAAAGTCGGACTAGGCCGACTATATGATATCCTTCACAACTAACAGATGTCGCCTTTTCGAAGGAACATTGACATGCAATAGAATTGAATTGAAACCGTTTTCAGTTCCAATTATTTTATTCATCACATTCTTTAAAACTTTCAATTTTGACTTCCATAAATGATGTCAATAAAATAAAACGTTATGATTTTTCTCGCACAGTTAATTGACATATTCATATGCTTGACAAAAAAAGCTTTAAAACAAATTAAGAAAACACAAAAAAACAACAACAACGAAACGATAAAAGTGATTTCTTATTTTAATTCACCAGCCCCACTCCCACACACACACTCACATGTATTTCGCATTTTAACGTCAACGTTGATTTTCTTTTCGCCTGTTTTTTCATTGTTTACCTTTCATTTATTTGCAGGTCTCTTCCAGTGCCACAATACTGGCGGCAATCAGGAGTGGGCCTACACCAAACGCCAACAAATAAAACACGATGATCTCTGCTTAACACTGGTGCAATTCTCACGCGGCTCACAGGTCATCATGAAACTATGCGACGATTCGGAAAATCAAAAATGGGTGTTGCGTGAAGGCGGTTTTATACGGCATCACAAATTGAATGTCTGCCTGGATTCGAGGGATCACACACAGGTCGGTATCTCGGCCCAGCGATGCAATTCGGCATTGGAGACCCAACGATGGTTGTTTACCACAACAAAAGCGTGAGGACGACGACAACAGCATCAACACAACAACAACATCACTGATGAGGGCAGTTAAATTCTGAATATGGTATGGGTACTGGCATAGGGTATGTGGGCTATTAAAGGCAAAGAAGTGGAATTAAAATGGGAGTGAAAAAAACGAAAAATGCTAAGGGATAAATATTTGACAAGAGATGGCATGGATTGATGAAAAGAAAATAAAGGACTTGACTGAAGAATATTTTTTTTTTGAAAGCAACAAGAACAACCAACGGGGCTACATCAGCAGCTATTACTACCACTAAAGCAACAAAACAATAAACGAAAAACTGAGCATTTCACAAAAACAGAAAAAAACAAAACAAGAAAATAAAGAAAAACCAAAAAATAACGACAAATAAATGTAGTGTACGTGAACCCAACGATGGATGGATGGATCGACCCACAGCAGATGAAATGAGGCTACATTTTCACTTAAAAAAATCCATCACTAGCTAACTGCCTGTATATTGTCCATCAACGTTGAGAGGAACGCATTGAGAATGAGTTGGGGTGTTGGGTGGTTGGTTGGCTGGTAGGTCCGTCGGTCGGTCAGTGATTTTTCTGAGATTGTGTTAAACATTTGCCAGTGATATTAATTATTGAAATGTGTTCTTTTTTCGTGTATGACTTTTTTTGATAAGTTTTTAAATTTTATTGGATCAACAGAGGAACCAATTTTTGTATGTATTCATACAAAATATAATTTCGAAATTATAAATATGTTTTTAAGCGTTTTCATACTGGGTTCCACTGTTAATTGCAATATTAACTTTTAATACACCATAAATGCGGGGGGCAATTGTACAAGGAAATTGTTAAAAAATTGTAGCCGGCAATGTTAATGAAAATCATTGTTTGCGAACGATATGAAAACTTAATGACGTGAATGATCTGACAATGAGTTTAATTTGTTTGCAAAAGAATGGTTGCGATGGAATAAGAGGATAATTACTTTTTTAATAAAAATACACCAATTTTATTTAATATTAATTTTATCAAATGTTATCGAAATTAAGATATTCAAACAGGATGAAATTGTATGGCAAGAACATGTATTTTTAGTTAAAAAAAAAATGTCCGATTTGTAAAGATCAGGAAGGAAATGTAGATAGCGAAGTGTTTTCAATAGATATGGCGAATTTAAATTAATTTGGGGACTCTGCTAACAAAGTCTGACATGTTTTTAATTATGTTTTAATCAATGGAATTTCCAACTCTAGACTATGAGATCCATTTTGTGGTATAGTTTAATTCAAAGTTAATTTACATTGGCGATTTTAGATTTGTAATCCTATTCTGTGGCAAAATTGCTTATTTTTGTCTGGAGTACAGTACCACATTTAAGAACTATTAAAAGATTTATAATTATGACGTTTCTAGAGGTATTTAGACAAGCAACATGATATGAATCTGAAAAGCCAGATTTAATCCAAATATAATAAAATGGTCCAAAAGCGTATATTTAAATTTTAGTACGGAAACCAAAATACCATATTACAGTCAATTCGGTTGAAAAACGTGTCCAAAATCATCAAAATACCGAATATTGGGAGATAACGTTATATGAGAGCTACACCAAATCGTACAATACCTAACATCCTAGGAGTACTAGCAATGTCTGTACGAAATTTCAAAAGACTGTCACAAATAAATCGACATAGAATTTTATTCTGATCAATAATATTTAAACTTTGTGGGGTCTCCGAGGGTTTGAATCGGAATGACACTGTACCTTATGGCTGAACATGGCTGCCTTAAGGTGTATATTATGTGTGTTCATCCGTCTGTCTTTTGAAATCACGATAGAGATTGCCATATTTGAGATAGAGCTTTGATGGTTTGCACTGGCATTGGTATCCTCCTAGGATTGTTGGTATGGCAAATATCGGTCTACGTTTTTGTATAGACCTTATGGAAATTTTTTTCAACCGATTTGGTCTATTCCTACCGAATAGGATCAATATTAGTCGACTTTTTAGGGTAGGCTCCATATAGGGGTACTCCCATTATCCAGTATTTTGGGGAATTTAGACATGTTTTTCAACAGAATTACCTATAAATTGACATTTTGGATTCACTTTGGCTATCAGGTTTGCCTACGAAAAATTATCAATATTGGCTTTTGGTTCGGAGTATTCCCCATATAACCATTTGGGTAGGTGTTCTACATAATTGATTGTAATTTGTTAGTTTGGATTGTGGTATGGTAGTAAATATTCCTACTAAAAATTATCAATATTGGTCCACATTTTAGGTCAGCTCCCACTATATAACGCTACACCCCAATGATCGGAGTTTGAGCACATGTATCATGGAGTATAATAATATCTTCTTACTAAAAATTTAGGGTATCTCCCATATGTCGCTACCTCCTAATTTTCGGTATTTTGGGGAGCTTGTACACGTGCTTTTACCAAATTAGATGTAATTTTAAATTTTGGGTTTTCAGATCGACTTAAGGAATTTTGAATTCATCCCACGTGGTGGAGCGTAAAATAGACATAAAAGTAGACATAAATTCCACGCAAATAACTTTTGGAGGTCAATATAATGAAAAGTTTGAAATTATTCCAAAACTATTACATTTGTTCATATATACTTTAATATTTTCCGAGTTATAAAGGGGTGGATCTCGGCTTTGGTTATTTTGAAAAAAATGACTTATTGCCCTCCCATTCTTCAATATTTAACCAAAGGTCCAAAGTTTGTTGGTATTCAGATATAGCCCCAGATTTGATTAAATTGAGGCACCACACAACCAAAGTTTTTCTGATTTATAAATAAGAATTTTAGAACCACTATATCCAAATCCGTGTCATTATAAGGTTCCCTATTCCTTTATAAGGTTCCTATTCCATTCCATTACATTTATTTTGCAAACATCTACTGTGCGTAATCCTCCAAAAATGAGTCCATTCGTCTTCAACATATTCATTAGCGACAATTTTTATTGTTAATCTAAGGTTGAGGTAGTGTTAGATATATTTTCGACATTTAGCTTATGGGCGAAAATTCGATACAAATCTGTATTTAAGTAGCTTTTTATACACTAAGTAAAATATTCAAATGTCACACAGTATATCTGTCACAAATTTTATAATACGATATTATGTATCTAACATCTCAAAATATATTCCAGTTTTTCCTTTCAACTTGGTCTGTAGAGATATATAATTAAAAAAAATTAGAACTAATTTTTTTAGAGTTAGTTTTTGAACACATTGGTAAATAAAAATCCAACCTATTGCCACCCAACTGCCCTTCACTAATGGATGTGTTAAATATTCAAAGTCCAGTAATAATAAAATACTTTTTATGTTATCATTATTCTCTATGAATTTAGACTGAAAAACAAAACATCCCACGTTCTTTTTGTTTTTAAAAATATATAATAATTAAGTTTGCTATACTGTTTTTTGCTCAACAAATTTCTAAAACAAAAGGGTTACACCTAACAACACCTAAAAACATTCCATATAAACGTGGCTTTGATAAAATTAACATCCCTCCCCCTACCTATGTATACCTATCTCTGTGTATAAGTAAATCTGTTCCATTTTGTTTCCTATGTAAATTTTAATGTGTGTGTTTTTTTATTCTAAAAAAACTATCCATATATTTAATTATTATTAAGTGTCAATTAATTGTTAAGTATCTATGAATTTTAATAAAAACAGTAAAAATTAAAAAAAAATTCTACTATTCATTTGCAGAACACTTTTTTAGTAATTTTTATTTTAATTATTTTAATAAACTATAAATAATTAAGTTAGTTATTTTGTTTAAACATATATAAGTATAACTTATCCCAATCCTTCCATTTTTCATAAAATTTAGTTTATAATGCATTTTTTTTAATTGTCAAGTTAACAGATGGACTAAAAAACTAAAAACACCACAAGGTATTAAATCTTGAAATTTTTAGTCCGTTTGTTACTATCCCTCTATGGTACATATAGTCCTTAAATAAATAAAAAAAAATAACTGTTTTTTGTACTTAAAATATAAAACCCCATTTTTAAAAACAAACAACAACAGAAATAAAAAAATAAAATTACATTCAAAAAAATATAGAAAAAAATGTCAAACAAAACATAAGAAGGTACGACTAAAACTAAAATTATAAATTTATAAAATAATAAAAATAAAAAAATCCTTAATTAAAAATTATATATGTAAATAATTATTTGATAATTATGAAATTAATGAAAACAGAAATTGTAAATGTAATTTGTAATAATTTGCGTTTTTAGCCAAAAAAAAAGATAAGAGCCAATAAAAAATAAAAATCATAATCATTAACATAAACATCAAAATAAAAATAAAAAACTAAATACATTTAATTATTTTTAGTTATTGGAAACGCCAAAGAAGCTCTACTATCCATTATCTTTTCGTTCTTTTTTTCGGTGGGCTTAGTCCAAATTCGTTTCCAAAAAAAATTGAGACATAAATTCTATATATGTATATTTGTATAATTTTTTTTTTTAATCTTATAAATTTTGTTTATCTATACATAAATATGTACGAACATAAACATACATACATAACTACATTAATTGCGATTATACCAAAATTATACAAAATGGCAAGAAAAACAAAATACATTTAAAAAATAAAATCTGAAATAAATAAAAAAATATTTAAAATTTATTTTCGGTTTTTCATTTCAAATGGGTATAATAAAATGGTACTTTTTATCACGATATAGTTGGAAATTTTCAAAAGAGTATTTTGGTGATCCTTGGAGCATTTACCAACCAAAGTGATTGTAATTTGGAATACCAGAGCGTCAACTGGTAGATATGTAGAGGTGGATTTATGTTTTGACTTAGCCACATATAAAGGCCCTTGTAATTTGGTATACCGGATGCCTGGTGAAATGTTTCTACTTTAACCAGAAACAGTGGTCCCATCCAGTTTTCCAATCCTCAGAGAATAATCATAAACCATAATCTATTGATAGTGAATTTAAAATGTCCTGATCGATTTAATAAAATTTCG